ATGTTCCACATTGCAGCAGCAGTACAGGTGCATTGAAACCTTCAAATGCAGGTACATGCTAGTCCAAACAAACTGTGAAAGAAAAATCCAGAATGACCAAATTCCACAATATGCAGATAGCACCTTCTTTCTGACACCCAAACCTTAATCCAACACAAGGCAACTTAACCCAAAAGGAAATGTAAGGAAAAGAGCACTCTGAAAATTTGCAAATGAGATATGATCTTATTGGATGTCACAAATGAGAAATCTGAGATTCAGTATCGCTATATAATTGTAACTGTGTCTGCCATAAAGTAAAACAATATACATTGTCATAAATCAGACATCAAGCACCTACTTCAACTTTTATTCTATGCGATGTCAAGAATTCATTTAAGGAGTGCTAAACGCTTTTCCTAGCAGAGGAAAGTTGTTAAAAGGCTTATATCTAGCCAACAATTGTATAATCCTGCACAACATGATCAATTCACACATACCTCAAACATATCTATTCACTACCTATGTGAGTTACTCGCCCAAATTTCCCTTAGAATCACACAGATAGATAAACCTGAAAGTTTTCAGGTACCAAAGTGAATAAAAACCTACATTATTAACCTGAAAATTAAAAAAAAAATGCAAAAAATTTTTTATGACAAAGGAAACCCGCACTAGGCAAACCCGATGCGATTAGCTCAACCCAGAAGGCAAACCCCTTCCTTTTGCTGGCAAGGTGTTTTGAACTTGAGACCTCCAACAATTTTTGAAGATCCAAAAGTTGCTCAAGTTGATGAGGAGTCATTTCTAAAGAGTGATCTTGCAAGACAACTCCATTCCTTGTAAAGAAACCTCCAGCATTACATTCTCCCAATTAACTCGGTTTGAATTTCTTTTGCATAGATGAGAGAAAGATGAGACCTATAGTTGGAACCCGAGTCTACTTATTGTTAATGATTGTTAACCCTTTGTCATTTTTAGCAGAGTCCACTTATTATTTTTGGCATGCCCTTTGCTCCCCTGGAAGAGAGTCCAGGACTAATCTTTAAGCAACTAATCCGTAAGGAAAATCAACCTCCCCCATAAAAGCACCAACTAGTGAACGATGACAGACTGGATCAAAGTCTATGAGGAAAATCTTTTTCCTTCAAAGAAATGACCAGCACAGAGAATGTACATAACACAAGCTGAACTCGTATGTCGTCAGCAGTTGACAATCAAGCCTAGGCAGTTAACGCACAGTTTTTTTCACTCAGAATTCAAACCCTACCTATGTTGTAAGATTAGGAGCTAATTAGCCTGCTCTGAAGTCAAGCTCTACTAGTAAGAATCAAAACATGAACAACGTGATGAAAACAACAAATCCATATGGCAATTGTATAGAATTGCTTGTACTTTCAAATCAAGTAAGTTCTTCACAACAAACTATAAAAGTCGTCCAGTGATAAACACGAGCAAGAACGTAAAAAATCTAATATGTTTAAATTTCACACAGCTCAGATCAGCTTATCTCACTGATCTGAAATATCAAAATTCTGCATTTTCCTTTTGATAATTGTGGTGTTCAGGCCAACTTTCACGCCCCTCAACTAATCCCATACCTACAACCTCCCATCAACAACATGTACCAGGTAACTCTATCCACTAAGGCTAGAACAAAAATAGAAAGAAATCACCTACTATTTTAGTTTGAACCTTAGACCTCATAATCTCAAAGATCTAATATCAAAATTCCTTTTTTTTTTGGATAACTGTGGTATCCAGACTAGCTTTCACCTACGTTTGAACCTTAGTCCTCATAATCTCACTGATCTAATATCAAAATTCTGCATTTTCTTCCAGACAACTGTAGTGTCCGTGTCAACTTTCACACACCTCAACTAATTTCATACCTCTCACCTCCAATCAACAACACCTACCACGTAACTCCATCCATCTACACTCGAACAAATAAAAAGAAATCACCTCGTAATTTTTTATCTCCTCTAGGTTTAAACCTCACACCTCATAGTTCTAAACACACTTCATTGATCACTACACCACACACCACACCCATTCATGCTAATTCTCCACATTTTAACTCATAACATGTTCCAGTTACACTTCAAACACTCGAAAAAACTCACTTTTTCATCAATACCTCAACAAAAATCATTATATCAACAGCAAACTAAAACAAAAAGCTCACCTGTCCTGGCGTTACAGGTCCAGAAACCGCCGGCATTTTCAAAAATCGTCAACTACGAAACAGAAACAATACCTCACCAAATCCAATCAAATCCGAATCAAAATTCAATTGTTCAACAATATATGTATATAATTCATATACAAAATCGAACGTATCATCAATATGTATATATTTACGAGAAGGATGAATTTATATATAAGAAGAAGATTTGAAATGAGCAGTTATAGAAATGGTGAAGAAGAAGAGATCTGAAGCAATGAAGGTTGGAAAAACGACGTCGTTTTGATCGATTGCTTCATCAATTGATAATTATTAGTGAGGTTTTTCGGAAGAGACGTCTCTATATTGGGTAGTTAGTAAAGTTTGGTACCTATTTTGTCCCTCGATATCCGATATTTATATTGAGGTTTAATTTAATTTAAATTTACATATCGTAATATCTATTTTTGGAAGGGGTTCTCTTATCGTATTTTTATAATATAAATAAAGATTTACATGATGTTTAATAAATTGCATTGATCAATAATCAAGAAGAAATGTTGAGTATAATAGCATGTTAAAAGTTCTTTTTTTTTGTTAGTGTTATTGACACGCTAACTAATTTGAATTTATATTATATAAAATCTATTAAAAAGGATATTCTTTACTCCTATTAATTATTTTTTTTCTCTACTGGCTTAAGTAGGACATCTTATTCATTTCAACAAATTTCTTTGATGGGGCAAAGTTTATATATTATTAGTGTATAACTCAAGTTCAAAATGTATATTTATATAATTATATTACTTATAAAGTAATTACATGTAAATTATAACGATCGTATGATAAGCATTAATATAAAATGATAACTAACTTGTATTTAATAAGAACGTATATGCATTTGATATTTATAAAAATTCAATGAACATGTGTTATATGTCTTCACATACATTGTTATTAATCAAATATGATTAACTAATACATATTTTAGTTTTAATTTATTATTTAATAGTAATGAATTAATATGATTTGATAAAATCATGGAATATGAATAAATTTCTAATGAGACAGATGATTTTGGATTATGGCCAAGTGCATTGTGATTATATCTTTCTTATAGGAAAACAAATTTGAGAAAAGAAAACCATTTTGAAGGTGTTAATATATTAATTAGTGAGGATCTCATTTTTAGTTTATTATGCAAAGAACTTCACCTAATTAAATAGAATACTAGAAATGTTGTTGACTAAATTCTATGAAATACACATTATTTTGTGGTGATATGATTTGTATAATTAGTTCATTTCTTTTTTTACTTCCTTCAAAACTTATAATCATCGTTTCATTAAGAAGGTAGTTAATTAAATCTTGTGTTACTGATATTTTTAATCTTGCATTTAATGATAATTTTTTATTTTAGTTCTTGTGAATAGTCACAATTTTTTGGAAGTGTTAATCATCCAATACCATTTAATTTCTCATATGTTATGTTAAAGTTGTGTTATTACTTCATATTTGAAGATAATTGTATACTTCTAAAAAGTTTAAATATAAGTCATATTCTTATATACTCTAAGGACCGAAAACACTATTATTGCTTAAATATTTATTTCAGTTACCATAATTAGTTCATAATATAATTCATTTGATTTATGAGTAAAAATGAAGCAAAAAAACTTTTTTAGGTGTGCATATAAAAAAAGTGAAAAAAAGATCAAGAGTTTGTTGGCACATCCAACAACTTAATTAACAATGACTAATTAAGATTAGTAAATTATTGGTGATGAGCAAAAATGATAATCTTGATCGCAACCATAATTATGTCATATATATTTTTTTTCTTATGATTAGGTAGAACGTGGGTTTAATTTATGGGTTATTAATCTTTCGAATTATTTATTGGCTTAGAATACTATTAGCTACATATAATATAGGGATTTAACATTTTCAATCTCTCAAATATCTAACAATTTTTGATTTTATTCCTTGTGATTTTTTTTAATTATTTTTTTGGGTGTTCGACAATAAAGTTTTTTTTTAAAAAAAAAATTTGAAATTTAGGGCCCGTAGCCTTTTATTAAAATAAAATTAGATCCAAACAACTACAATGGCCCAATAAAACCAAAAATCTAGATTTCCTAATTTGTTCCTTTCTCTCTCTGTTCTTGAAGCAAACTCACTGTTCCTCCACCTTCCATTTCCGATCATTCCGTGTCTCAGACAATAAAGTTTCGAATTCAAATTTTAAGATAAAAAATTCTTAATAAAAGTGATTTATTCTTTAATAAATTCTATGTAACGTGAATTCAGATTAATCGAATAAGTGATAGCAAATACACGAGCATAAAGAAAAAAAACATTTACTCCACATGTAATGTTGAGTAATAGTCAACATTTTCCACTTTTTTATTTAAAATTACAAATGATGCTTTAATATTTAAACAATTCAAATTTTTTTAGAAAAAAAACAGATACACAGTGTCTCTGTCCATCATGTCATTTTTCCAACTTGACTCAGAATAACATTTTAAATTACATTGATAGATAACATTTTACCAATATCACTAAAATCTATATAAATATATTTATTAAACTATATACATATTTTTATATACATGTACACCACACCCTCTCTCATGTTCAATAAAAAAAAAATACTCATTTTTTTCCTGATCAGCATTTGATATTCATATTGGGATTCGACTAAATCTTGTTTCGCAAGATTCATTTTTGAAGGAGGTGCTTCCAACATGATTCTTTTCAATTCTCAGAGACTCAAATACGAGACTTGATTAATGCCAAAGGAATTCCAACTATTCCATCACAATTCATACCGATCAATAATAACTTTCTATATAAAATTAGAAAGAGTAATTCTTCCACAATTACCAGTGTCCAATCTCTCAAATTGTTTGTTAATCGGCAATATATCTCTTTTCTGTGATCTTTCCCAATTCCTTCAATTTGTATATCATATAATCTGATTTACTGTCAAAACACATAAACATAAAAATTAATGCATAGACAAATTTAGGTTATAAAAAGCCTATAAACAACTTTGAAAATAATGACTAATGAAAAAAAAACATTTTTATTTATAACTTGAAATTATAAGTGTGTGATCAATTTCGGATTAAAGTTATTCTGACTGTCGTATCATTTTCTTGGCCAAATACTTTTCTATGTCATCTCTGATCTCTTTTAAGAATAAGATTCTCTACTCCGCCTATTTATGAAGAACTTCAAATCTATTAGAAAATTAAGGATATATTTCAAGCTTATCACCACAAACATACAAAACAAAATTTTGAGACTAGGAGTTTATAAATATGGATATGAATCAGAGAATTATGTCAATTTTAAAGAATTATTCAAAAAAAGCAAAATAAAAAAGAGGAAAGGTTAAATTTTGTTGGGCGAGTTGAATTATAACCCATTATTTAATATATTCGATACAATTTTTTTTTGTTGCATCATTTGGATTAGGATTCGATCCGCCTATGTTTTTGCCACCACTAAATTTGACTTAAGAAAGTAAATAGAGCAAAATTCTTGCAAAAATGTGAAAATGAATAGGACTAGCTTCTTCCTTTTTTTCCCCTCACACTAATGTTCGATATTTATTTTAGGGCTCAACTAATTTGAGTTGACGCAGAAAAAATCTTATTTATGGGATAAACCACTCCCTACCTTAATCAATGATTTTAGGTTTCAAGTTCTAACCATAGAGTTGCCTTTAGTCCTAGTATATCCTCTATAATGAGATCTTCCAATACAAATTCAGATTAGTCGAATCTTAAAACAGGTATCGAACACCAGATACAAAACCACAAAAGAGAAAAACAAAAATAAAACTTTTACCTTACAAAACCATCATGAAACTGATCAACTGTCACATCTTGTTCCATCACCCATTTGTCCACTTTCCTTTGCCTTTCATCAACTCTAACTTCAACAAACAATATAAAAACTCTAATAACAACAATTATAGAAACAACTAACCAAATTGATCCAAAAATTCTTCCAACAATTGATTCAAACACCTTTGCACCATAACCAACACTAGTAACTCCCATAAATGAAAAATAAAATGAATCAAACCATCCAATTTTCTCAACAAAATGCATTAAAAAAACTCCAATTCCAATACATACCACAAAAATACACAATGCTAGTAGCACTTTACTACTTTTTTGTGTATCGAATAGCCTTTTATGAGTATTTTTTCGCGAATCAAGAATGTAAATAACAAATTTTGTTACTAAAATATGGTAAAATACTTAACTAAGAAGCACAAATAAGATGGAAAATAATTTTGTAAGTGTACTATTTGGTGTTATGTCACTATAACCAATTGTACACATTGTGAGTATGCAAAAATATAGAGCATCAACAATTGGATGAGTCTTTTTGGACTTAAATTGATCCATAAAGAAAAAACATATGGATACACCAATTGTTAAATAAAGAAATAAAAGTAATATAACTTGTTTAAGAATTGTATTATTTTTCAAAAAATGGGGTGGATTTGGAATTGGTGCTAAATGATTTTCAAGATTATTAAATGGGGTTATAGATGATGATGGTGTAGATTTGGACCTATGAAGTTTTCTCTTTGGTTCAATTAAAATTGGATTTTCAAAATTGGATTTGTGTTGGTTTAGTGATGAAGAAGGGAGAAGAGACTCTTTTTCCATCTTGTTGCCTTGTTTTGGTTTGTTTGAATAACAAAATTCAAGTAATCTTGGCTTAGTATATAAAAATACTTACTTATAACTTGTTTGATCAAGCTATCGAAATCAACTAATTTTGATAAGTACTTTTTATAATTAAAAATATTTTCCAAAATATAAATAAATGGGAGAGTAATTAAGGGGATGACTCACCTCCAATAACTTAAAATGTCTAGTATTGTTTAATGCATTGCTAGATGCAAGCCATGTGTACAATACAAAGATCAAGGATCTTGATTTACTTGTATTAGTTGTTTTTTTCTACTTATCTTATCATCAAGAAGACAATGTTTGAATAAAGTTAAATAAAATAAATATGATAGTGGTTGATGATAATTAGTGGATCGATGATGGTGATAATTGATAATGGAGATGGGCTGAATAATTTACAAGCGTTGTGTATCTTATAATACATCTTTATTGAACAACACATTAAATGCCCGTTGCAATGACAATTGGTGATGACAATGCCACTAATAGTAATTGTAAGTGATAGCTAGCTAGTGATGATTAAAGATGATGGAAAAGATTAGCGAATTGTAAGTGATAGCTAGTGATGATTAAAGATGATGGAAAAGATTAGCGATGGGGTCGAGTAGTGTAGCCATAGCAATAGATGTAAAGTAATAGTTGATGGCGGTGATTGATCATGAAGGTAGTTGTGTAGTGAGGATTGATTGTAGAAGTTGACGATGGTACTTAACAATGAAGGTAATTGGTGATGTCTATCTAAAGTTGTGAACAAATAACAATAGTATAACCAATGTAGTTCCATAAGTGAGGTATCAGAATTGGAGTATAATCACTACTCCCAAATCAAAATGTAATTGATCTATGGTCGATTTTCGTAACAAATCAAATAAAGAGGAATTTCATTTTGTACCTCGTATAAAAAAAGTAAATATATGTCTGTTAACAAAAAGGGCAAATATGTGTATGCACCACTTTTTAACGAGTGATATAATTGCTCTAAATCGCAAAGTTAAAGGGATATATTTGCCCCTTTAATTCAGAAGAATGAAATATGAACTACTGAAGTAATATAGATTGGGAAGCATATGTTCAAGTTTCAACTAAACCAAAGTTTTATCACAAGTATATATATGTGCTGGTTAAAACTATCAACAACCAAAAAAATTAACTTACAAGTTTCCCAGGCAACTAAAGAAACAATTCTCTCTCTCTTTTACTGGATCCATCGCGCCAATAAGCTAACGACAGCAGAAAGCACGTAAAGCAGTACCAAGAAACAACGGAGGGGTGTCGAGCTGCTTATCATAAAACAAGGATAACAGAAATATAGATTGTATAACTCAACCTTCCACATGACTCTCCTCTGCTTCACGAAAAACGTTTTGCTTGGAATCATAATGCATCTCAAATCTGCAGTAGCAGAGAAATGTATGAATTGACAGATATAATATAAAGAAGGTAAATTCCAATATAATATCGATTGAGTGTTGCTAAGATGAATGAGAAACAAGACGAGTTCAGTTCAGTATCCTTGAAAAAGAAACGCTAAAAAGCTACGATTCAAACAACCTCATTTATCTCCTAAATGTAGTAAGTTTACGTTTCTGGAGTAGACCAAACCATCCTACATCTATGGCTCTATGTTCTGCATTTGTTTTGATAGTATAACAGACATAACGTCCCCAGCAGTCCGATACTCAGAAGTACTAACAAATAGAATGTCGATAACATGCTTTTGAAATGGAAAAAACTATGCATCCGGCGTACTCCAACTAAGATAAAATATAAGAAGTTGCAAATTAGCCATTGATGATTCAAAAGTTAGTCAAACAGCTGATCAATATCATTCGTTTTAGCCTAAACACCCTCTAAATCGATTTGAAACGGGTGAGATCAGTTTCAATGAATAACTTACAGACAAAAGCCAAGAAAAACAATATTTTTTAGCCCCACAGAGGAAAAAAAGAAGAAGGCTGAGACAGAATTATCAGACCAAAGAGCTAAAAGATGAGGCTGCAAATTAAGTCTAATGTGCTCTTTCCGTCAACTGCCAAATCCTCAACACAACAAGAAGATCGTAAATTAGTGACAAAGATGAAGTTGAAAACTCATCTTGTTGTTCTAAACAATGATCATAAGCACCATTGCCCTCGAAGAACAGGATGAAAAGCGTTCAAGAAACGTCAGCAGTAATTATTTGTATCAGTTTCCTTCCCAAGTAAGACATAAAAGCCGTACTCACCAAGCATTCTACATACAAGCTTATATTGCATCGACTTTATAATTTCATATTTCGTCATCATGACATGATGTTCCATTCTGATTATTTGCTTAGTTTACTTAAACTGCTAATCAGGATCCATCTGAAAGTAGACGTCAAATGATTGGCTTATGATAACTTATATCTTATTACAAATCAAACCCCACGACTCCACCTTATGTATAGAGGCGTAGGTAGAAGACCATATATGAGTTCGGTTGAACCCTGTAGCTTTTGCTCAAACAGTGTATTTGTGTTAAGAAATTCATTAAATTTAGAACCCAGTTATTAGCACTTAAGTCTTCGTTGTAAAATCCAGAACCCATAAAGTTGAAGTCCTGACTCTACCCTCTACTTACATATGAGCTCTTCTATGGGTGACATGGCGAAAAGAAGTTTCTAAATAGAACAACACTGATGCTCCAGAGAAAGCAATCCTATGTCGTTAAACAGCAGGAGTCACCTATCTTTCCTGTTTAGGGAGAATTAACGGACACTGTGTATAGTTGCAAACAATCTTCACTTAAAAGGTTGCGGATATGACATGATTGTATTATAGAACCGCCATCAATTGGGTGCATTTCAATCAGACATAACCATGAGCTCCAAGAAAGTGCAGAACTAACAAATCATTGAGTTTAGAGAAGTATGCAGAGTTTTCACGAGAACGTGGATAGAAAGCAGCAGTCAAACTACAAGGTACCATTCAATTAATGCCAAAAGCCAATAGCACAATTTTCAGATTACGAAGCAGTTAATATTACATCATCAAAGATCAAAGTCACAAGGAACACGAAAAGGTCACTACTAGCTAGATCATTTAACTGAAATGAGCTCTACTTTCTTGTTCATATATACCTTCGCTATGTAAAAACCGTTGTGCCAAAAGACCAATTTTTTTTTGAAAGAATGGATTTCCAACCTGAAGTTATTTATTCGATCCTGCAAGCACCTCAAACAAGCCACAGCAACTCTTCCAGGAAGTTGTTTGCACTGGTCGTGGATCCAAAGCTACTAGTGGCTGCATATTTACAAAAAAGGAAAAGTTTACATGTTGGTTATGATCGATTCGAAAGAAAGGAAGGAATGGTCTGTATTTCCCCTTGGGGATTTCTGGGATCACCCCATATGAAGGAAATCCAAAAGTAACTCGCATTTTTGGTGCTATCTCATGGGAATTGAGAGAATAAAATTTTTTACTAAAATAGTTTCGTAGCTTCTGAGGTATTAAAAAATGAAATTTCGATCTAGTAGAAAGAATAAACTGCCAGGCGCGTAGAGAATTATCATGACACCGTATTAATAAAAAGCTAGAGAAGAAGTGGTAAACCTGATGCTCATGGGGAGAACCTTCCATGTTGTTTGCACGAACACCAGCATCAACTGCAGGCACATCGTACGGAATCTCTAGTTTATCGTCATCTTTTACAGCCTTGGAGGGCTTTGCATTTGAAGTTGCTACAGCTTCATAGTCCCTTTTCTGTAATCCTGTATCCACAACAACGTCTGACGTTCTGGTTTTCTCATCGATAACACCCAATTCTCTCTTCTCATTTTCCTTCTCCGATGATCCAAAGGCCACATTATCAATATCTGAAGCGCTTGTGGCCACCTGAACTATGTCATCTGACATAGCAGGTTTGCTGCTGCTACTTGACCTCCTTCGTAAGCCTCCTTCATGAGGGAATCTCACGGGTTCAACACGCTCAATATCAATGTTATTTCTCATAGATTCACCCTCAAGCTTCAATTCTCTTTCGACCTGAACGATACCTGATCCCTCTACCATTGCTACTTTATTCACTTCATTACTCCCTTTTTCCAATGCATTTGATTTGTTATTATCAATCGACGACTCACTATGTGGAATTTCCAATTGCTTCTCCCTAGTTCCCTCTTTATCATTGAACTGGTGATCTTGAGAAGCTGAGTAACTAACATCCCCGCCATCAGTCTCTTTTTTACCACCATGTTTCAAATCCTCCTTACCTGTCATAGATTTGTTCAAACCCAATGATTCAACACAGAAGTATTTTCGCAAATTAGCAATCACCCGTCAAGTGATGCAATCCAAAATAACAGAACGATTCGATGATCTAATCAAATAATAGTACTACGGTTCGAGAGGAAGTAACACTATCTACTCGGACACATCTGTTGAAAAGCGGACAACAATGAAAGTAGCCTGAACGTAGTTATTAACTAATTATTACATCAAAAGCACAAAGCACACATCATACACAAATAAACATAAAACAACCCATGTATTATAAAGACTGATAACTTACAACAACTATTGAGAGACATGAAGGTAAAAAAGACACAACGTAAGCAAGAATGCAGAACAAGGGAAAATAAGCGAAATCCACTACTCACAATTTAACAGTCGCGGAGCCAGGTATCTTAACACAAGGATTCATAGAAATACAAAAAGAAAATTGCTTTTTACCTTAACATGCATAGTGTAATTTTCAGACGAAGGGATTCAACCAGAGGCGAATCGTGCAATACTAAAGAAAGGAGAAAAAATGCATAAGCGGGAATTGACTCTTGTACCATTAGGTAAATAACTTAGCTTTCAACCAAGTGCATCACTAAGTCTTTTTGTAGTATGGATGCCAGAGATAAGTTCTAGAAAATATATACATACACCTAGTTTTACGAAAAGACCACGGGGTCACGTGCACCATAAACTACCTAGTAAATTCACCCCTGGATTCAACTGAACCCCTTCCTTACCTTTAGCTATGTCATTTCTCACAAACATGTCCTTTTTTCGGTTTAACCATTAGGTACTCTTTGGGACTGAGGCATTATTATTGTAACCATTAGTTCACACCTCAACTAATCCGAATTGGCACCGCTTAGGACCCACTAAAGGAGGTCTCATACCTTTTCTTACAACTTGCAGGACTACCATATTTCATTCCACTTTTTGTTATCACCAAAAGAACTTTTTTTTTTCAAATAACTGTAATGTCCGAGCCAGTTTGCATTCATTTTCAAAAGAACACAAATGATACATTTTCTAAGAAAAGTCTTCTTTTCACGGAAAACATTTTCCTTCATGTCAAAGGCACAATACTCAATATTACCTCTACACTACTATTCCGTCCGTCAGTCCAAATTTATAAACATATGTTCATCATCACTAAAATGCACTAAACTCACCCTATACATGTTCATCAAGGCTAAAATGAAAAGTTTAAAGTTAAATTATTTCTAAATAACAAAAAAGTACCACACATAAAAAAGGCAGCCCAATGCACTGACCTCACCCTATATGGGATCCGACAGGGAATTGAACCACAAGAATCTATTATAGGAGTCTTAAACCTACATTTTTATGCCATATACAAGTGTTTCATTAATACTAAAATAAAATTTTTGAAGTTAAATTGTTTCTGAATAACAAAAAAGTATTGACACATAAAAAAGACAACCCCGCCCATTACACTAAGCTCGCGATATGCACAAAGTTCAAAAAAGATTACACCACAAGAGTCTTCTGTACCCAAAAAAAAATTTAAAAAAATTGATGTCATATACACATTTATCATTAGGGCTAAAATTGAAAAAAAAGTTAAAAGTATGTCACATAAATCGAGACAACAGAATAAATAAATAAACAGACTTAATGAAAAGTACCATACCATGAGACTGAGAATTAACAGCAATAGCAAAGCTTGATACTTGTGGATTATTATTATTATTATTGTCATTATTATTATTTGCTCCCAATTTCTTTTTTTTCTTGGAAGATTTTCTCTTTTTGGAACCTGATGGCATAATTTTATATGTATACAAATAGATCTTTCTCAATTGAAAAAAAAATAAAAATAAAAAACTGTTTGTTTCTCTCTTTTAATCTTTGTTGTGTGAAGCTATTGGCTATGGAGGATTTTGGGTAAATTGGAGAAAAGTAGTAACAGATTTTGTAGGGAAACGAAGTGTTATTATTTTTTGTTTTTATTTATATTTCAAACCTATTTTGGCCATTAAATATTATTTATTTTTTCTCGGAATAATTATTTTACTTTTTATTTTATTTATAAATGGGAAAAGGCTCAAATATGTTGTTGAACTTTGAGAAAACATTCATCTATGTCATCCGTTAAAAGTTTGGCTCATTTATATCATTTTCGTTTGAGAAAAGATTTATCCATGTCATTATTATTAACCAAAAAAAGTTTTGATATTGCAAAATCATTTTTCACACGTGGTCAATTATGATTCGGCCACATCATTAATTAAATTATTTTTTAAAAAGAAAAGGAAAAATGCATAAGTATCCCCAACCTATGCCCGAAATCCCAGAGACACACTTATACTATACTAAGGTCCTATTACTCTCCCGAACTTATTTTATAAATAATTTTCTACCCCTTTTCGGCCTATGTGGCACTATCTTCTGGGGTCAACTCGTGTTGACCATTTTTTCAAGCTAACTGGTTGATAGTGCCACGTAGGCCGAAAAGGGGTAAAAAATTATTTATAAAATAAGTTCGGGAGAGTAATAGAACCTTAGTATAGTATAAGTGTGTCTCTCGGATTTCGGGCATAGTTGGGGCTACTTATGCATTTTTCCAAAAAAAAAAGACTCAAATATGTCATCGAATAACATAAATAAACCAAACTTTTAAAGGAAAATTTAATGACTATATAAAAATAAATAAAAAGTAAAGAGTAGTAAATTCATCCTACTATATAAGTCCCAAACCTATAATATAGCCATCAATAGGTTTGGTAAAATTTGTTACCTATATAATAATATTCACTCTTCTAAAATAAAATAAAAATATTACACACACGCACACACTAGATTCAACAAAGATTTATAGCTAGTGGTCCAAAGAATTGCTAACCATTAAACTAGACAAAAACACATTACTATTATTTTTTTTGTTTAACAAGAAGTACAAAATTCAAATGGATTTAATTTTTTGTACTGACAATTTTAAAAAAATTTACATGATCAAGTCATTAATTAATTAATTAATTACATTTAATTTTGAATAACCAAAATATATGAATCGATAACTTGATAAAAATACTAACTAATTATCATGTTATAAGACTTAATTTACGATACTAATTCGTGTACATAACTTATATATATATATATATATATAAGTTATGTACACGAATTAGTATCGTAAATTAAGTATATCCACCCTTTAATATTGAAGATAGTTTTAGAAGAATAGCCCACAAAAGCTTTAATTACTTGAAATCAATAACATTTCTAGAAGGAGCTAAAGTTACAAATTGTGTTTTTAATTAATGTAAATAAAGTAGACAATGTGTTATAACATACCTTGAATTACATTTTACACTTAATAATAAGAGTTAATGGTAAAAAACATATCCGAGTTATTATTTTGTGAGTTTCAAATATTTAACTATCAGTTATTTTTTAAATTTTTTATATCTAAATTATCACCATCTATGTAACTCGAAGCTAATACTATGTCAGTTATTCTCCTTTCTATTTGGACTATCACCATCTACTCGATTACGTGTATTTTAATACATAAATATATATATATATATATATATATATATATATATATATAGATAGATAGATAGATAGATAGATAGATAGATAATTTAGGTAGAGAAATGGAGCATATGATAATTAAGATGTGAAACTCGTGAAAAAGTAATAATCTAATATATATTTTATGATAATGGGTTTTATATGTGGCGAATTTAAATTAATCGAGGCCCAACATAAATATCGAACACTAGATAAAAAAAATTCTATCAATCATACCAACAAGGGTTATGGTGGAATGTATAAGATCCTTCTCCTCTTAATAAAAAATCTCAAATTCGAGTTCCGAATATGAAAAAATCCTATTAGGAGGCGATTTTCCTTTAAATGAACCTTATACGGTGTGAATTCAGATTAATCAGGCCCCTATACGAATATTTTATTTGAAAAAAATTAATCCATATTGACCATACTAGCTACTAGCTAGGTGCTTAATTTGACATGTAAGAATAATAAATTATTTATTTTCCTTTTTATCTCCAGAACAACACTTATTTTCCCTAAACATTTATATAACTTTCTTCTATCCATTTCATTTCATCAAGAAAAAAAATAAAAATGGCAAGAGGAGGAGATGAGAAAATTCCATTTTATAAGCTTTTTTCATTTGCAGATAGAAATGATATAATTTTAATGTTGTTGGGAATATTAGGTGCTATTGCTTCTGGGGTTTCAAAGCCATTAATGTCACTTATTTTTGGTGACCTTGTTGATTCTTATGGAACTTCTAATCAATCCAACATTCGTGATAAAGTTTCTGGGGTATAGTTCATCTTCTGACTTTTCAAAAATGTTGACATGTGCAGTGTGTGTGGGGTTCTCTAAAGATGGTTGTACATCTTTGGAGGGTTCGACACGAGTTTGACTTCATATTTGAAGAGTCTGAGCAATATAGTTGCTAGCTACGTACTATTTTTTTTTTGGGTATAATTCATCTTTCCTATGTTGCTTGGAGGACTTTTCAAAAATATTGACAAGTACATGTGGGGTCCTCTAAAGATGGTGGTGCATTGTTGGAGGGTTCGACATGCAGTATGACCTAATATTTGAAGAGTTCGAGCAATATAGTTACTAGCTATTATTTTTTTTAATTTTTTTTTTTTTTGGGTGTAATTCAACTTCCCTACTTCATATGTACATAGGATTGTTAGGCTTATGTTGTTTAGACTCTTCAAAAATGTCTAACATAGGTGCGTGTCGGAACCTTAAAAAGCAAAGTATTTTTGAAGAATATGACACAAATCTAACATCATAGTTGGAGAGTCCGTGCAATATATAGTTGCTAGCTATTAGGGATTCACGTGGTGTTAGCTAGAGCTCCTTAGAGTTTATACATTCGAGACTTGTAGTGAAGGATGGAGGGGCGACTATTCCTACTAAAAAAACATTAATTTATGACCCGAGACCTCTAGTTGATGGTCAAGAGCAGAGGATTTCTACTGCTAAAGAACATGAAATTACAGTTTATAAAGGAAATTCTTCCATATTCGAACTCAAAACTTTTAGCTAAGGTTGGAGGGCATACAAAACTACTACTACTAAAATGCAAATTTTTAATGGAAATTCCATCAAAAAAATTTGACGGACTTTTCATAAAAAATCTTGTATTTTTGGATGATAATATCAATTCAAAAAAAGGATTGAAATTATTTTAGAATTATTGAATAATTTTTTTATTTCTACTATAAAATTGAATTACTTATCTTAAATTTTGAGAAAATGAATTAAATTAAATTATCTACTTAATATGCATGCAGATATCCCTCAAATTCGTCTACTTGGGCATTGGTTCAGGCATGGCTTCAGTATTGCGTAAGTTTATATTACGCTACGATCTAAAATTTTGTAAGTTATTATAAATGTTAGATGATAGTCTAATATTTTGTCGGTAAGGTTGCACAAATAGATAAAGGATAATATCCACAAATTGTATGATGAAAGTCCTAAAAGAGTAACTATTTTATGCATTGATTCCTTAAAAAATGCATGACTTTTGGAGGATTTGACATGCACTCGATGATATTTTTTGAAGTGTTTGAGCAATATCGCTTTAAGTACTATTTGAGTTTTTTTCCGTCCTATTGAAGCTGAGACGGCTCAAGAATTTAAGCTTTATGTGTTCAATCTTTAAGTTTTTCTTTTTTGGCATAGACCCCATTACATTTTTAAAGTTATATGTTCATATCTACTATTTGTTGTAGTTTGTATGGATTTTCACATATAAATTTATGATTTGCATTGAAAGTACTGGGTTCAGATGAATCTGAATCTGATACTGATACTCTGCATCCGCTTTGGGACCTGAAGTCAATTAGTATACATGACATGTTTTATGTTTAACTCTTGATTGTCCATTTAATCATTTCAGAGGTATCATGTTGGGTAATTACTGGAGAAAGGCAAGCAACTCGAATAAAATGCTTATACTTGAAAACAATCTTAAGACAAGATATCGAATTTTTCGATACTCAATCAGCAACAGGGGAGGTTATCGAAAGAATGTCGGGTGATACTATTCTACTTCAAGAAGCCATGGGTGAGAAGGTTAGTTCTAACTCCCTTCTAATTATAATTGTAGTAGTACTACATTCGTCTCATACTCCTTCTGTCCCGTTTTATATGGCACTAGATAGTCTTGCACCTATAGCACCACTGTATTCAATAAACACAAACCATATCAACAATGACACCTTAATTTTGACTTAGTTGAAGTTAGTTATATAGATCGTCCCCATCCATATTTCGCCATAAATTGATTGATACAACAACCATCTAGATTTGAGATGTTGTTTCTTATAGCTTGAATGTGTTAGGTTGGGAATTTTATCATGCACATGTCAACTTTCATTGGAGGATTTGTAGTTGCATTTATCAAAGAGTGGCACCTCACGCTGGTTTTACTCGCAACCATTCCCGCAATCGCCATTAGCTATGTTTGTGCAGCGTTGGTCTTGTCCAAATTTCAGGGAGCGGACAAGCTGCTTATGCAGATGCAGGAAAGATAGTTGAACAAACAGTGGGAGGAATTCGAACGGTAAATTTCCTTCTTTTAGTAAATTTTATGCAAAATATATTTTGGTGAATTGTACTTTGGTCTCTCACTTGCAGAATAATCTTTTATTTAAGTATATTCTTCCTTTCCCTAGGTTGTTTCTTTACAGGAGAGAATTTGTCAATTATAGATTATAACAGTAAGCTGGAAAATGCTTATAAACCTACTGTCAACCAAGCGCTGGCTTCGGGAATCGGACTTGGCACGACACTAATGGTTAGCTTATTTAGTT